GGCTTTTTTTGTGTCAGGCATGTGTCACTTTGCTCACATCTGATTGGTCCAATTTGAGATCTCTTACCCAGAACATAACCTGCCCTGGAGTAGGTTAGCTGTGGAGTGTAAGTTAATATGGCAATGAACGCTGCTAAAAGCCAAGCCGCTTTCATGGTACCTAAAACCCCGGATTGATGCAAACTAAACTATATCTTACCTGGCTAGCCAGTTAATCCGGCCTCATGGTACAGGCCCCCGCTCTATTTCTGACATACAAGCATTCGAAAGAGAAATTGATTCGCAACATGACGCAACTGCACTTTAAAAATTAATTCCATGGTGTGATTTTTGGCTCTGCTCCTGGTCTCTAGAGTTTTTTCTTTTCATAATTTAAATTAGAATAGCTGATTTAAATTTGGCTTACATTAAGGTTATAACAAAACACTCTAAAAGGATTTCTATAGAACACTGCCTGCGCACACACACACACACACACACAGGTTTGTTTTTGTGAATTGTGGGGATTGTTTTGTGTGGCCATTCCATAGGCGTAATGGTTTTCATGCTGTACAAAGTCAAGTCAAGTCAAGTCACCTTTATTTATATAGTGCTTTTAACTGGAAAAGTGTTTTCATGTACAGTGGAATTCAAAATAATATTTAAACCTGGAAATAAACAGAGAGCTTTAGGATTTTGGAAAATAGTGAATTACATTTTTGGAAAAAGTGTATTAAACTGAGAAAAATGCTAATTAGAAGCATTTTCTTTAGTGGACTTTTGGATCCCATTGCATTTATGCCCATATGTTTAGGTGGGTCATCATTTGATCTGGTTGACCGGTTGATAATTTCCTATGATCACAACACATATGATGCCCTACTTTTCCTATTTATGAGCATATTTGAAAAGCTAGTTTACTTTCTACTGTCTGACACACTTCCATAATCTGTTCTGTAAATTTGGGATGATAAACAAGATAAATTTGGTGAGCTTTTGGTAGTGAAATGTAACAGTGCTCTAAGTGTGTTTAAAATAGCTTTTTGATATTGTTTTTTATAAATTAATTTTACTGACTATTAAACCATAAACTTATAAATATTCTCCTTTAAAAATTTAGATTTTTTTTTATGGGTCGGAGAAGATGCTGATGCAATGCTAAATAGATTTGTGTGTGTGTGTGTGTGTGTGTGTGTGTGTGTGTGTGTGTGTTTTCTTCTAGCGGCCTCTTTGCCAGCCATTACACTGAGACACATTACAGGGAAGATGGACAAACTGTTAAGAGCACTCACAACTCTAAGGTATGTTAAACAGTCTCACATACATTTGTCTTTTGATATATACACATTCCAGTGAGGTAATGAACTGGATATTAATTGTTGGTCCATTTCAAATACTGTAAGAGGAAGTCAGACCAACTTGTAATACATCTGCATCTAATTTTCTGGGTTCAACCAGAAAGGAACATTTTGTCATCATTTACTCACTCTTCCATACTTGTATGACTTTCTTTGTTCTGTGGAGCAAAAAAGGAGATGCTTATTCAAAAGTCCAAGCTGCCCTTTTCTATACACTAAAAGTGGTCAGGGAGTAAAGGCTGTCAAAACCCTCATAGACAGTAAACCAACAACAAAAAAAACATCCCGCTAGTGGTACAAAACACTCGAACACTGTATATTTTAAGAATTTAGGAAAATTACAATAGCTTTACGAGAGGAACAGGCTGAAATTGAAGTAATTTTTGCTTAACCTTTGATAATTCATTGTATTGAATGTCAGCTTGGACATTCAGCTATAAACCCATTTTTCTTCCAAGGAAGAAAGAATTTATATAGGTTTATGAAGGACATGTGGATGAAACAGTGAATTTTCATTTTGAGTGAACCATTCCTATATTGTTGTCAAATATAATGCTTAAAAATCTTCAAAAGTTAAACTGCGCTGGCTAGTGCACTAGCACTGGCCTTCTTCTCAGAGCTGATTAATCTTTGCTGTGATGTGATGTTGACACAAGGACAGCATGTTGACATTATTGTCAGGTCTTATTTGAATTGTCTGCTGGGTCTTTTGTAATTTTATAATTAGACTAGTGCTAAGAACTGCAACTAACAGCTTTGACAACATGTTGCCATCCCCCCCATTCCCAATCACACATGTGTAGGCTTGACAATATTATTCCTGCTGAGCATATTTAGCTCTTATTTATAATCATTTAAGCCTGTCTAAATATCCATGAACATCTTTTGTATTCAAAGCTGAAAAGGTCTAAAAAAAATTGAGCCATTGTATAAGATTAATTAATCAAAAATAGGTAAAACAGCTTGACAAGGCTTTGGTGTGAGTGATGATAAAACAGTTATTTGATTGACAATCTAATTTGGACCATGTAAAAAACAGACTTAAAATAGTTTTAAAATGGAAAATCATATGCGAAAAAATAGAACTGATAAGGATTGTAGAAAAAAATGAATAACAATAAGAAATTGCTTTAGAATAAATTATTTGAATCAAAAGGTGGCAGTTAGATTATAAAAATGATTTATGGTTTATTTCTAAGAACTGGTTTTCGAATATTATATTGATTTTATCCTTCAACATTTTTTTCCCACTAAAACAGTCCAAAAAGCTAATTTCTCAGCAGATACATGTGTGAACTGTCATCCAAGGCAGACACAGAAAAAGCAGCCTAGTTTTTTTTATGCTGATCCTTAAAATCAGGACATTATGAAAGAAAAATGGCCTGCTTTTACTAATATAAGTCTGAGACTTCACTTTGGTGGCCTAGTGTATTATTTAACAGGGCCATTAGCAAGTGCAGACATCATTTTTAGCTCTAGTTATCCTACATCTATGGCTGTTTCTGGTACATTCTTTGCTATTTTTGGTCTGTTAAAACTTAAAGATGTGGAAATGGTAGCCACAAAAATGAGTTTTGATGTGAAGGATTTTTGCCATCAAGCGTTGATTGCTTTTGACAGAGTGGTGTGTTTTTGAACGGTTTTGTCTGCCTGTGTGTGTGTGTGTGTGTGTGTGTGTGTGTGTGTGTGTGTGCGTGTGTGTGTGCGTGTGCGTGTGTGTGAACATTCGTGTGATTGATGGCAATTAGATGTCCAGCCTGTATTTCCACATGAAAGGTCTTTGGGGGTTTGTGCCAGCCATAACAGGGGAGAATAGTTTCCTTGTAAAATAGACCAGCAGCCAGACACTACTCTTACTGGCACCTCAAAGTGTGGTTTTCATGGACAAGCAGCTGCTTAAAGATGACTTTTGCTACGTGGCACTATGCTACATGATCCCTTAATACCAACATTATCTGACATTATCTTGCACCTGAACAGGATCTCATTTCCATTTCTAGTTAGTAAATGATCCAATTTTATGGTTAATTGATTTCGGAAATAACCCCCACTTTAACTTGATCTGTTGGCCAAAATTCTTGGCCAAAGTTTTCTTGTTGAACATCTGGCTGTTGTGTCAGTGACATAATGTTTTATTTGTCTGAATTAATTTATTCAAAAATACATAAAAAATGCAATTCAAACATACAATGACTTTTATGTTGAACACATTTTCTGTATTAAAAATCATTTTCATTTAATTTTTTATTTTATTCATTCATTCATTTTTTGCAAGTAAAAAATGTCAAGTTATCTGTTCTAATACTGTAGTGCTAAAACATCATTAAAAATCTAGAAAAGAAAACCTTATTAAGTGGTTTGGCATAATCTTTTATTACTTATTTTATTTTTAAACTGCTTCACTGCTTATTAATATTTGAAAAATGTTAGTCCAACATATCATAGTCATGCATTGGCCAACATGCAGAAAGATACATAAGAGCAAATAGCATAAAACAGGAAATGATTATAGAGAGGACCACCACAGACCCTCATGACTGTGTCAAGATAAATAAGTCTCTTAAAATATCTGATCATTTGACCTTTTTATGACAGGACACGGTTTTTGTCTGGCTGTGTGTGTGTGTGTGTGTGTGTGTGTGTGTGTGTGTGTGTGCGTGTGTGTGTGCGTGTGCGTGTGTGTGAACATTCGTGTGATTGATGGCAATTAGATGTCCAGCCTGTATTTCCACATGAAAGGTCTTTGGGGGTTTGTGCCAGCCATAACAGGGGAGAATAGTTTCCTTGTAAAATAGACCAGCAGCCAGACACTACTCTTACTGGCACCTCAAAGTGTGGTTTTCATGGACAAGCAGCTGCTTAAAGATGACTTTTGCTACGTGGCACTATGCTACATGATCCCTTAATACCAACATTATCTGACATTATCTTGCACCTGAACAGGATCTCATTTCCATTTCTAGTTAGTAAATGATCCAATTTTATGGTTAATTGATTTCGGAAATAACCCCCACTTTAACTTGATCTGTTGGCCAAAATTCTTGGCCAAAGTTTTCTTGTTGAACATCTGGCTATTGTGTCAGTGACATAATGTTTTATTTGTCTGAATTAATTTATTCAAAAATACATAAAAAATGCAATTCAAACATACAATGACTTTTATGTTGAACACATTTTCTGTATTAAAAATCATTTTCATTTAATTTTTTATTTTATTCATTCATTCATTTTTTGCAAGTAAAAAATGTCAAGTTATCTGTTCTAATACTGTAGTGCTAAAACATCATTAAAAATCTAGAAAAGAAAACCTTATTAAGTGGTTTGGCATAATCTTTTATTACTTATTTTATTTTTAAACTGCTTCACTGCTTATTAATATTTGAAAAATGTTAGTCCAACATATCATAGTCATGCATTGGCCAACATGCAGAAAGATACATAAGAGCAAATAGCATAAAACAGGAAATGATTATAGAGAGGACCACCACAGACCCTCATGACTGTGTCAAGATAAATAAGTCTCTTAAAATATCTGATCATTTGACCTTTTTATGACAGGACACGGTCAGTTCAAGTTGTAAACTGTCATATGGTGTGGCTCTCCAAAAAAATAACAATATTTATTAATTAATCATTTATAATATTTCTAAAAACATATTTTTACTGGGAAAAGTAACTTTTCATGCAAATGGTAAAAGTTTTCCAAAACCATAAGAAACCAACATATAAAGAGTACAATTTAAAAATTTGGAATTTAAATACTTATGTTTTAAACTTGAAAATATTTTTCCTTTTCTTCACACAGATGAATTGCTATTACCATGGTGAAGTCCAAGGATACACACACTCTGATGTCAGCCTCAGTACATGCACTGGTATCAGGTAAGCACAGTATGACCACCATAATGTTCCTGTATCCCATTATGAATAGGCAGTAATTTCAACCGTATTGAGTTACAATTTTCAAAGTCATTAAAACTCCTTAAAAAGTAGTTTAAAGCATGTGTGCTTTAGTGTGGAAAGCTATTATAGACCTTAAGTTGTCAAACATTTATTGCCTTGATATTGTTTCCAGTGGACTTCACAACTCTTCCTATGTGAAGGTTCATTTAGAGCCTATAAATCCGTGAGATTAAACATCAATAAAAACTTTAGTATCATCCCATGCTTCATTGTCTTGAAGATAAGCTCATAAAGTGACTGAAAGCATTTAACATGTCATGAAAACTTCAGCGATGTTGTTAAATATAATTAGAAGGAGCATATGGCTACAGTAAATTTGTTGTAGAAGCACAACTTTTACGACAGAATTGGTAAAGATGAACTCAGAGCTATGATTGAAGCAAACCCCTGGTCTCCTGTGTGTAATTACAAAACACTTCTACTGAAAGTCTTTACTTTATCTTCATTATCACAAGCCTGGAGACTTTCAGGTAGGCAGATATTAAGGCCACTTCTGAACACAGAAGGTTACTGTGAATCAAGGCCGAGATCAGTATGGCTCCAGATTTTGATCTGTTTTGTCTTGTTATCATATTGCCAAGTGAAAACTCACTCTTCATCTCGCAACCTAATTCTGCAGCAGTGGCTCTTAAACATACATTCTTCATATTCAATTATCTCTCAACAAAATCTTTCAAAATGTCTTTTTTCACCCATGGCTATATTATTAAGGATATCAGTTTTGTCACAAATGTAAATTTACACATTTGAAACACAGTCATATCGCTCTCTGGTGAGTAATGGGTTATTGGTCATATAACTGGGTGGAGAAATTAAATTTTATACAGTCCAGTGTCATTCTGCAGAAAAATCCATATCCACCCATTTTCCAATGGGACAAAGACAAACAAATGGATTTATTAGAACTGGATTTATTGACTATAGAGTTTATTAGATGGTGGAGGGTCATCTGCCTTTAGTTTTAAAATGATATTGTACTGATAAAAATATAATTAAATTAGAATGAGATTATCTGATCTCAGAGTTAATATTTTTTAGCTATGTCACTGCAGCATTTAGCCAGAATGCAGACTTCATGATTTTCCCCATTAATTTCTCCCATTTACATCATCCTTTTTGCTCACACTACATACTTAGAGCATAAGGTGTCCTGCACCTCAAGACAATTACCTGCAAGTTATACCATACAGCTTAATTGCATTTTTTTCTGAAGAAATGTAAGGGATGCTTGTCCATGTTTACATTACAACACAAAGCTATGGTATTGTGGGCGGTTGCCAAGAAATGGCTTCTGTATGCCGTTTCTGTGGTGTTCTGGGTGGTTACAAGGGCATTGCCTGGTAGTTGCTTACTGGTACAAGTCAAATGAGCCCACCTCCAAATCTCTAAGTCTCTAGGGTCACGTTTTTTAATCAGCCATGTTTTAGTACCTATATCTCAAGATGGAGTGGCCTGATGCATTCATTTGCACTCTGTCTTTTTCTTATAATTTTAAAAGGATGTTTATGATTTTTGAGAATTTCAGAAATTCTTATCTTTAGAACAATCTTAAAACAGTTTAGTTTTTAGAACAATCTTAAGAAAAAAGATAAGAACATTATTAAGAAATGTTTTGGCAAAACAAAATATTCTTAACTTTATTATTAATTTAGAAAATAAGAAGAAATTGGCACTTATCAATTTAAAAAGCCCTTCTTTGCAAGCAGCACAATTTGAGATATAATTCTTGTCAATATCACAAATGTTACAAGACAGGTTACGCATCAAACTTTAACACGTCACTGCTAAGTTTGAGCAATAGTAATTGTGATGCTTTTCTTAGCAAGTATACCACAAAAGAAGTTGGCTGTTACCTTAGTAATATGTGTTTGTCTGTTTTGCTTCAGAAGGGGAAAAAAAACTTTTTTTTAAAATAGTTTAAATCTGAATTCAATCCACAGAGGGTTTATCTTACTTGAAAATAAAACACTGATGGTGGAGCCAGCTTTTGAGCCAGCAAATGACACCCATGTGATTTATGAAGGACATCACCTACACTTCCCCTCTGGGACCTGTGGACACGGACACAACATATCGACTGTCAGCCATATGAGCGCTGGAGGACCGCCACAATCATTCAGCACAAGGGTATGAATGCGGTCTGTCAGCAAATGTCAATGTAGCAGCTGTTATAACAGTGTTTTGTTTGGAGAGTGTCTCTTTTTTTCTTGAGGAAAAATTAACATGCATCATTCAGCATGTGATATCTTTGTTAATGCAGATGAGGGGATTGTGGTTGCCCTCACTTCCCATGCATGCTAAAACAAGATTAGAGAGCTCGGCGAGACATCAAAGGTTAACAGAAGATCCCAACATAGCAGTCTTGACATTGAAGATCTTATCACAACATAGCTGTCTAAATAAGATCCCATTGTATTGATTCAAATGGATAGCAGTAGATAGAAGATGCTGTTATAATTCAACATAATGGCAAACTGATGGTATCTATATAATAAAAGTGATTACAGCTCTGTATCAATGCTGGCGCTGATATTTTCAGACACATCTAAAGATTATAGATAATTTCATCGTCCATTTGAGGAGAATAAATCAAAAGGAGTTGAAGACTCCTGTTATTGTCACCATGGTGACTACAGAACTGCTAGTCAAAGTTATAAAGATCTGAACGTGTTACAAGGAGGTTAAATAGACAGTTCAGAGGGGTCACTTGTTGGTTCAGGCATCAGCTATTTTTGGTGGTCGTGGTGTTGTTTTGTTCATTAACAAATCAGTTTAATTAAATTAATCTTTTAACTGAGCACAATTTGAAATGCACCTTATATTTCTCATTCACTCCCAAGTCTCAAAGCATGTGACTGCTTTCCTGCCTTCAACGGCTGATATAGCATTTGAAGACTCAAAGCAGAACTGAAAAAGAGAAAAAGGTCGATCCATGTCAAGTGAAAAATTAGTTGATGCACAACTTTGTTAATTTTTTGAGTGACCTCTATGCTATTGCAAAACCACCAGGTTTTACATTTTTATTTTTATGACTTGGTTTAACCACAGCAGCTGTCTGTGTGTCATAGCCCACAACACATTTTGGTTATGTGGACATTTACACTTCAGTATCTCAGCTCAAGATGGTCCGAGCTCCTTGAAACAAAAACAGATCTCTAAAACACATGATGTCCTGGTATATATACATTATGTGACAACGTTTTGCACATTCTTGTTCCTAAGACTTAGAATTGAAGTCCAAATGTAATGATCAAGGTCACTCAAAGCAGGGTTATTATCATTAACTAAAACCAAAAAATTAAATACTTTTTTTAAAGTTACTAAACTTTTTTTAGAGTACTAAAAACTAAAACAAACAATAAATAGATATGTTAAAATCAAGATTGCTAAAACATTACCTCAAATTAAAATTAAAACAGAAAACATTTTAAAGCAATTTAAAATACCAACAAAAACTGTAATATATGGTACTAAAATAACACTGGTTCAAAGCTCCACTTTTCAATTTAAAATGGGAGGGATTTGAGTCTCTTGCCCTAATTTTTTTAAAAGAAACCTAGGTAAGTATCGTATTAAAAAAAAATATATATATATATATATAACTTGTTTGGCAATACCAATACATACAGTATATGTATAGAGATAGTCAAACTTTTTTTTTTTTTTAGATTTGTACTGTATACACAAATTTTAATAAAGAAAAATGTAAATTGTTTCAGGTGGTTTTTAATGAATTGGTTGCTTATAATACACACATACACAAAACAAAAAGGAAAAATCACTTACTGGTGTAACCTGCAGAAAGTCTCACTGAAAGAGTTAGTGGATTAATCTGTTGTTTGGTGAACATAAAATCTGTTATTTGGTGAACAGATTTAAAAGATTCAAGTCACTGGGATGATTCAAAATCCCTATCACTTGGCTCTGATGGACCCTCTGGTACATGTTGTTGGTAATGAAAAGTTGATCACATAGTAAGATCGTTGACCTGCTCTTTTCTGTTTGGCAGCATAAACGGGATGTTCAGAAGACCACCAAATATGTGGAGCTCATCATTGTAGCAGACAACAGGGAGGTAGGACAACAAACAAACACACAGTTTGACAGAGATTGTGGTGCAAGGCAAGTTAAAAAGTATTTTGGTAAGTGTCAGTCAGATATCACAGAATCTTGTTATCTTACATGCTCCACCAAACTGGTTTGCACCGTGTACTCTAAGTACTTTAACTTCAGACTCATAAAGAAAGAAGAATGAAGGGAAATGTGCTGTAATACCCAATTGTATTTGGTTGAGTACTGTGCAGTTTTCGGGTTACGGTAAAGTTTTGGTTCTTTGTTTCACTTTAGTAGGCCAAACCAAAAACAGGTCATAGAGGGTGGGACCTGACTGGAATTAGGGCAATGATCCCAAATGATCAGACAGGAAACAGGAAGTGTTGTGTATAAAGTGAACATTGGATGTGGGAAAAGGAAACTGGGCAACAAGAAAGCTACCATGTTATCAGCACAGCTGTCTGTATATTAAAGTGTGTGTGTGTGTGTGTGTGTGTGTGTGAGAGAGAGAGAGGGGGAGAGAGAGACAGAGTTATTGTGATGGGTTTCATTCCTGTTAATTAAATTATCATGCAACACTATTTGACTAAAAAGGCTTATCCATTCTATTAATTCTATAAATTTTTGCATCTTAAACATACACTCACAGGGGAAGCAATGCTGGACCATAAGTGGCTGGCTGTCACACTTGTCTCCAAATTGCATTTTGTTTTTTGTTTTTTACTTTGATTGCTATTGTTCAGTGCCTCTGCCCTGCTTTAATGGTCACTTTCAAGTGTTCTTAAGAGTGTGCCGTTAGACACACTTCTGATAACACCCCTACATATGACAGCCACTCAGAGGGTCGTGCATGGTTTAAAAATCCATCTAGACTCTGGTCTTATATTTGTTGGAGTATATCTTTCATCTCACTTGTGTCTTTTCTTTCCCCATTCAGTTCCAGAAACAAGGAAAAGATTTGGAGAAGGTTAAGCAAAGGCTAGCAGAGATTGCCAATTACGTGGACAAGGTATTAAATGCCATTTTTCTCCAGAATGAATGGGAACACTTGATTAGAAGTTTAAAATAGAGGCCTGGTTGTCAGAGATGAATGGAGGACTTCTGAGGTAAAGGACGAGATTTTAAATAAACCCCCTTTTGAACGAAAGCTAAGTATTTTTAGGTTAGGTTAAATTGACTGATGTCCAGACAGACATAGATGGATGGATGTGCTGCTGTGTCAATAGATGTATGAGGTAAAGCTCATTAAGAAATAGTTTGGAGGGGTTTGATATCATGTGTTCTCTCAGTTTTACAGAGTGCTGAACATTCGAGTAGCTCTGGTGGGACTGGAGGTGTGGAGTGATGTCGATAAGTGTGCAGTCACCCAAGACCCCTTCACAACCCTGCATGAGTTTTTAGACTGGAGAAAACTTAAATTGCTGCCGCAGCGGCCACATGATAATGCCCAGCTTATTAGGTTCAAACACAGCCATATTACACACATTATCGCATATACACACTTTGGCACATGTGTCAGATTCTTTAACAAACTGTACCCAATTACGTGGACAAGGTATTAAATGCCATTTTTCTCCAGAATGAATGGGAACACTTGATTAGAAGTTTAAAATAGAGGCCTGGTTGTCAGAGATGAATGTAGGACTTCTGAGGTAAAGGACGAGATTTTAAATAAACCCCCTTTTGAACGAAAGCTAAGTATTTTTAGGTTAGGTTAAATTGACTGATGTCCAGACAGACATAGATGGATGGATGTGCTGCTGTGTCAATAGATGTATGAGGTAAAGCTCATTAAGAAATAGTTTGGAGGGGTTTGATATTATGTGTTCTCTCAGTTTTACAGAGTGCTGAACATTCGAGTAGCTCTGGTGGGACTGGAGGTGTGGAGTGATGTCGATAAGTGTGCAGTCACCCAAGACCCCTTCACAACCCTGCATGAGTTTTTAGACTGGAGAAAACTTAAATTGCTGCCGCAGCGGCCACATGATAACGCCCAGCTTATTAGGTTCAAACACAGCCATATTACACACATTATCGCATATACACACTTTGGCACGTGTGTCAGATTCTTTAACAAACTGTACTCTAACAGCACAGAATAAACTAATGCTAACTCAGGAGAATGCACATCTTGAGGGCCATTCACACAGAATGTGTTTTTGCAGTTAAACACACTAGATGCAGTGCAGTGGAACAGGAAAAAATGCAAGGCCTAGAGACACGTGTTTTAAAAGTTGAACTTCTTTTAACTTGAGCTATACGAGATACTGCAAAAGATGCAGACATAGGCGCAATGGTCAAACACATCAGTCTAGCACGTTTACATTAAAAAATAATTGAAAAGCAGCACAGTGGAATGTAAAAATGTGTTCTGTGTGAACGGAATTGAATACTAACCCTTCCCATATTCTGTGCTGTATATACTATTAGAAAGATTTCTGTTATAAATAAATACTGTTCTTTTGAACTTTTCATTCATCAAAGAGTCTTGAAAAAAATATATTTTGTTTCCACAAAAATATTAATCAGCACAAACATTTTCAACATAAATAATACTAAGAAATTAGAATATAGTGAAGGATCATGTGACACTGAAGAATTGAGTAATTCAGCTTTGCCATAACTACATTTTAATAATAAATTACATTTTAAAATATTTTTAGTTAGAAAACATTTATTTTAAATTTTAATATTATTTCACAACATTACTGTTTTACTGTATTTTTGATCATGCAGCCTTGGTGAGCATAAGAGACTTCTATCAAAAACATTTTTAAAAATCCTAATGATCCTATACTTTTCAACACTATAGCATACTGAATGCTGCCTACGATTTTCTAAAAAATGAATCCATTATGTAACAAAAAATTTAGCATGTTTAATTCAGCAGGTGCTGTAGCATGGTAGAATGTTATTCTTAACATGTTTTAATCTTAGTCTTATTACTTGGCTGTGCAAGTTTTGTACCGTATATTTAACCTCACTTTTATTCTTTTATGGCAGTGGGGTGTACTTCCAGGGCACCACAATAGGCATGGCTCCCATCATGAGTATGTGTACCGCTGAGCAGTCAGGAGGCATTGTCATGGTGAGAAATAAATCATCACACACTCTGTGTCCCATAATTAGCACATTCACCCTGAGCTGCACAGCCATCCAGCTTTAGACTTTCGTGATTTAAAAGCATAGAAATTTAAAGGGATAGCTCATTTTCTATAATAATTCTGTTGTTATTCATCATCCTGGTACATTCTCAAAGCTGGTACATATTTTTTTTCCATAGGGACTAAAGCTTCAAAAAATGCAAAAGGACTTTTCAGGCTAGAAAACCTCAGTTCCATTCATTGTAATGAGCCTGCAGCTTATTTATGGTCCAGAAAGAAAACCATATGGGTTTGGAACATCATGAGGGTAAATAAATAGTGACTTTTTCATTTTTGGGTGAAGTATTCTTTTAAGGTATAGGTTGTGTCCCATCCAGTGTGGTGTAGTGACTTAAAGAAAGACAACTAAATCCCTCTTGGTTTATTCATGATTTTTTGAAAAGGCCCTGCACTCCTTTAACTGTTCTTTAGGTGTGTGTTTTCTCTTGAAAAGCCAGTGTTGTACAGTTAAAATTCCAGTGATATGATAAACACAAATCACTGCCCTAACAGATTTGCTTTAGTGTTTGATCATTTTCAGGAAAACACTTACAGTGGGAACCTGAAATATGAGGACACTTTAATTTAAACCAGGAAATAAATATAAAAAGGATGAGAGAAAGAGAGAGAAATAGTATCATGTAAAACGAATAAGAAATATTTTCGGCATATACCTTATATATTTGTGGAGTTGAGTTTTGCTGCCATTTTTTTTTATTTTAAATACCTATTAAATTTGAAATACCTATTCAACCATCTATCACTGCTTTGCTGCTGTATAGCTAAATAAAACACATTTACATTTTTATTAGTCTAGATATATCATCCATGCCACTGTAACAAACTGTGACTCTTAAACAGGACCTCACAGAGATGAAGTCATTAGCCATAGGTCTGAGTTACAAACTGTTGTGGTGCTGTATGAAAAATGATTTCCATTAACTTCTTAAATGGATAGTTCCCCCAAAATGAAAATTATGTCATCAATTACTCACCCTCCTTTGTTTTAAAAGCGCATGATTATTTATTTCTTCTGTCAAAAGGATGATCATGTTGTTCTTTTCTATACAATGAAAGTGAAAGGTCACCGGGGACTGTCAAACTCCAAAAATGACAAATAAAGCACCATAAAATTGGTGCATATGTTGCACAAATGGACCTTTTCTATAGTGCTTTTGTCATTTTTGACACCATTTACTTCATTGTTTGGAAAACAGCTGCATGAATGTTCTGCTAAATTTCCATGGCATGAAAATTAGTAAGGGATGACAGAATTAAAAATTTTGGATGAAGTATTTCTTTACATTATTTCATAAAATCAACAGATCCACTAAACAGAGAAAGAAACTTAAAAGAGACAAAAGGGGACACACACACACACACACACAAAGATTTGGGAAAAGAGACACTGTATGCTAACTGATATACAGTATTTCTGTATTGGCTGCTGTGGTTTCAGAGTCTTGTTTCCGTATGTGTATCTGTCCCCCATTTACTTACATATGGCAAACAGAGACTGAAAATGAATCTGGCTGTGAATTAAACCAAATCTTGTACCATGTTAGAAGGCTGATCAGCTTAAAAAGTCTTCACAATCCTCTGCGTTGACTCACAAATTGTCTAAGAAGATTTGAATCTAACAGTCTGACTTTTGTGCAAACAAATTTGGACTAACCATAATGAACACATCTTGCATGATTAAAGGAATCTAAAACTTGGAATGTCTTTGATAGGAGATACCCTGTAAAATGTGGAACTAACTTGACAGAAACCCAAGAGCACTTAAATATGTCTGTTACCAATAAAGGCACCATGTTTTCAATGTGACAGCTTGGTAGTGGTTTCTTGGAATAGTTAAGTCTGGATTTCCCACAGCATTAACCACACCGTGTTAGTCTGCAATTACGCTCAAAGAGGGGCAAGTCACTCATACTCAAGATATACGGTCATCAGTGGCACACTATAGATCTTGAATAAATAAAATGAGGCAGATAAATATCACCCCTGTTGGCTCTGAAAGCTAAGATGAGACTGTCATGTTCCTCGCCCTGTAATCAAGGCAGGAAATGGCATTTTGATGTACAGCGAAATGGAAAAAAAGACAGTCAGGTTATTGTTGTGTGAAAAGATGGCAGCTAAATTAAGAAAAAGAATATGTTTCTGGGTTTTTAGAGGTGGTTCGCTGGTAACCAAGACACGTTCGTGAGGCAGCAGGGAGGTTTTCTTCACTTCGGCTGAAATGGATAATGCTGAAGCTCTACTTTGTTCTCAGTGAACAGATGATGAAGAGAGCAGAAGAAAAAGGGAAGGAGAATAAGAGCAGTGGTGCTTGAATGTGTGTTTTATGGCAAGGTTGAAAGAGATTTTAAAAGAGAGAGTTTGAAAGAGAAAGGATCAAAATTCATAAGAGCATCTACAGCCCAAGATATTTAACACAACATCACTATCTGCTGGTCCTTTCATGTGTCATACATAATTAATCAGATGTTGTTTTTTTCCAGTCTAGTACGAGGAAATAACAGAATATTAGGGCTGTTATTTAATTAAAAATTAACCCAATTAATTATATTATAAGTCTTCAACCCTCTTCTGCAAAGTTTATTTTCAACCTGCTTCAGCACACTCAGCACAGACTGGACTGGTGTCTTACCTTAGACCCGCCCTGAGTGAGCTGTCATCAGTCTGCCATTGTTTCACCGCTGGAGCAGATGTAGACAAGAATGAATCCTAAGCGATTGAGGTGTTCTGTTGTTGGATGTAATAATGAACATAGCAGTTGTCATTTACTCCTGATATCTGAGCCGGTAAACTCGCAGTGGATTACATTGTTTCTGAAGGGAATGCGCCCCCGATCTACATAAATGCGTCTATGTTCGTGCGAATCATTCGTGATTCAGCTTCATGTACAGAAGAAGTGTGTATAATGTTTTGTAATGAATCTTTGCAAATCGCCTTTCCTAATAATGTGCTAATTAGCAAGTTTCACGATGAATGTGGCTAAAGTAAACAGTCTCTCTGAGAGCAGCTTGGAAGAGAGGGGCGGGGTCAGTAGAGCTCATTAATATTTAAAGGAAAATGCTACAAAAACGGCTTGATATGAAAATAGCTGCTTTTGACAGGGTAAAAAGGTGTTTTTTGTACACTACTATTGAGAAATTTTAACCAAACTATGTTACAGACTTTTCATTAAGTCCCTAAAGAATCATATAAACTTGGGCATCCTATGACCCCTTTAAGAAACCTTAATTAATGCTGACCTGTAACTTTTCAAGTGATCGTGAAGACCTTGATTAGCTGACTCAGGTGTGTTTAATTAGGGTTGGAGTTGAACTCTGCAGGACAGTGGGTCCTCAGGAGCAGGGTTGAAGACCTATGAATTATATTATGCACTGATAGATTAATCAAATTAATTGCAAATAATCGTATATGTCAATATTTGGAAAAAGCCCTGACATGAAGATAATTTGTATTCATATAACGTTGTGGCAAACAAGTAACCATTGAATAGTGCTAACCCTTTGCATGTTTTATGTCTGTTTATTTTTCTAGCACATTAGTTATTTAAAATATTTAAGTATAAAAAAACTGTGAGTGGTATTTCAAAAAGTAATTCACATTGCAAGAGTGTTGTGGGTGGTTGCCAATGTGCTGCCATGCAGTTGCTAAGATGTTCTGGGTGGTTGCTAGGTGGTTTCTAGAGTGTTCTGTGTGGTTCTATTCTTGTCCTTATACATAGTTCCAATCTCTTCTTTAATGTAAAGGTGCAGACACTTTTTCTGTTGTTCAGCGAACTTTCACGGGCAAAATCCAGTCATTTCAATAGGAATCCACACAATCGGGAATTTTCTGTGAGAGCAAAAGATTTCCCCTCACAGATTTTGCAATGTGTTCAAGTTGGTCAAGCAAAGTTGCACCACTGACCAACAAAAAGCTGCTTTGTTTGAAAGTTAGCTGTAGTTTAAGGCATTATATGACATCCTGTTGTTTCCTAGGATCACTCGGACAATCCTCTGGGAGCTGCTGTGACTTTGGCCCATGAGTTGGGCCATAACTTTGGAATGAACCATGACACTCCAGAGCGAGGATGCGGCTGTAGGATGACTGTAGATCGTGGCGGCTGCATCATGACCCCCTCTACAGGGTGAGTATATGCTATTGAAATGTATTGATAACTCACCAGATTTTACCACTTGACAAATCACAAGTAAATAGTAATGTTTGAAAAAAACAAGATCTAAATAGTCTTTGATAACCTCCTCTCCTACTCCTGAGTGGAGTACCCTGTCTGGATTTGATGTATTAATGCATTGCAGACACATCACTCTACAGCTCAATTAGTCTCCAACGAGCCCTATTATCTGGGGAACGGGGAAATCAAGCTCTCATCATTCATGTACACAAGAGAATAATCAGCCGTTTACCTGAATCTTATTGACTAGGGGTTAATTAGCCGTCTCTCAGTGATGAATTTGCACTACATAGCCATACGTTACCACTGGCGTGAGGCTGGTGTTGGATTGAAACTCAGAAACTTGTAGATAGACGGAAGGCTTGCTTTGTTAGCCGTCACCTGGCGTCTCGTGATAACGCGCTTGTTGGTAATGGTTTTCGGCATGCAGCTGGTCTCAGACTTGGGTAAACACCAGGTTGATAAGGTGAGGATGGCTCATAATGGAAAATTTCCTCTCCTTACACTTATCAGACGATGAACCAGAGTCAGGTGGGATGAGGTCTTTAGATGCGTCGGTGGAATAGAGGAACTGAGTGTGAATCTGCCATCTTTGGTTGCTTAGTTCTGTGGCCAGGTTGTTTTGAGCCAATCACCTCAGTCATAAATGTCATGTGACTAATTATTGTTACTAATGGCAGGAAAATGATGGCTGGTGGCTTTACTAGATTGTGCACAGTTGCAAATCTTTCACTAGTGAGCTGTGACATTACAGTCATTTTTAGTGACATTACAAGTTTTTTTTAAGAGCCCAAAATGTTCAAGAACTGCTAAAAATAATGAAATATTTGTATTTTGCTTACAAAACAATTTATTCAAATATACAGTGTATTATGTCTCACATCTACCAGGCGCTAAACCTTGACACCTTGGTATAATGAAACTGATTCACTGGCAAATCAGATGCATTTTTATCAGTAATGTTTCTTGGCATAGGCAAACTAGGCAGTCGCCTAGGGCACCACCAGCAGGAGGGGGTGCCAATGAGCACACGTACTGGCACTACATTTTAGCAGGGTTGTGATAAAGAGTGGCACGGCCAACCAGAAATATGATTGACACCCCCACTGGATCCCCCAACATCATTGGGCTAGAGTACTGTCAATCTGACAATGCCTGTATGCCATTGGATCAGAGCACTGTCAATTGCTGCCAGATTGTTGCATGCAAAGTTTGCATTTTGAGTGCTCAACGACAATCAATCAATCAATCAATCAACACATATTTATATAGCACATTTAAAACAACACCAGTTGACCAAAGGGCTTTAAATGGCTAAAAATTACTCAAACAAACACAATATCCATCACTGCTCAGTGTCCCAAAAGCTAGGGGCAGCTGTATGCCACAGAGTAAAGGTGTGTTTTCAACATTGATTTAAAACAGTCAAATGAGTCACATGATCTAATGTGCAATGGGAGACTATTCAAAAGATGTGGGGCTGCCACCTTTGGTTTTCAACCGTGATCTGGGAACATGTAAAAACAGACTCTGTCATGATCTTAGAGGTCTAGCAACACAGTGCTGCTGTAACAGACATGAAATGTACTCTGGAGCAAGGCCATGCAAACCTTTAAAAACCGTTATCAAAACTTTATATTAAACTCTAAAATCAACAGGAAGCCAGTGCAGCGAAGCCAGCACTGGAGAAATGCTGGACCATTTCCTTGTGCCAGTCAACAGTCAAGCTGCAGCATTTTGTGCTAGCTGCAGCCATGAGAGCAGATTCTTAGACAACCCTAAATATAATGAGTTGCAATAATCCAATCTGGATGAAGTAAAAGCATGAATCACGGTTTCTATGTCCTCAAAAGACAGAATTCTCTTCAATTTAGCAATAATTCACAATTGATAGAAGCTACTTTTAACAACAGCACTGACCAGCACCATTATATCTATGGATTCTGTCAGTGCTTTGGCAAAGTAACATGTTTTTTTGTTTGTTTTGTTTTTAGCCTTGCAATAAGTTCAAAGACCAATTAAAAATATTGGTACAGTAAAAAAGTGCACAAAATTAGTATTTTGTTAAGGCAGGATTTGTGGCAGTCGAGAAATCACGCTGCAAAATTGGTCCAAAAGGTGTGCTTTTTTGTGCCAATGCATTGTTAAAGGATCAGCGTGGTGTGTGTAATGTTCACATATAAAAATGTAACGGCCAATTAAAAAAATATTGGCTAAATCACAAGATCAATACATCCTATATATTAAACCGCTTTGCTGAATTTAGTGCATCCTTGAGGAAATGTTGAAATGCTGAATTAATTCATTCACTACTAACGGCACTTAATGGAAGCAGCATCATACACATAGAGAGCAGAGCGTCACGTCATTTAAAGGGGAAGTTCATGCGTCAATGAGTAACAAAGGAATAAGTAGCTGGAGTCTGAATTTTTTATGTGACTGATGAAGCTTTTTTATGTAGTTTGGGGTAACAAAGTTTTTTTTATAGGTTTGACTGAAATAATAATTAAAAATGGACACTTTAAATCAACATTTCAAACAACAAAAAAAACTATAAAAGAAAAACACAAAGACAAAAAGTAGTCATTGATAATATCTAAACGTATCTAAATCCAAATGTAATAAAATGTATTGGAGTGGGTGGGCGCCAATTTGGATTTCGTCTAGGGTGTCAAAATGGCTGAAAACTTTGGCTTAGATTTTTTTATGTTTTAGAAGTCTTTTATGCTCAGGAATATATTTTAAATTTTCATTTTATTCCTGTGATGCAAAGAATTTTCAGCATTCATTACTCCAGTCTTCAGTGTCACATGATTCCTCAGAAATCACTCTATTATGCTGATTTGATGCTCAAGAAACATTTCTTATTATTTGTTATTATTATGTTGAAAACTGTTCAGTTGTTATGCTTACATTTTTGTGTAAACCAATATATATTTTTTCAGGATTCTTTGATGAATAGAAAGCTCAAAAGAACGGCATTTATTTGAAATAAAAATATTTTGTTATATTATAAATGTCTTTTACTGCCACGTTCAATGAATGTAAAGTCTCTCTGCTAAATAAACATTAATTTAAAAAAAACACACTTTTGAACCGTAGTAAACACTTGTCACGGAGTCAACAGCCACAGCCAGGCCAGATTCTTCGGCCTCTCCCACTCGTCCACAATCACCCAAATACTGAAGCACTCCACCTGCCGTCACTAATTAGAACTGATATAAAGCCACCATCTCATCACTCCTTCAGTGTCTGGTCTTGTTGTTCACATGTGTGCATCAGCTTACCTGGCTCCTCTCGTTGGATACTTACCAGTTCCTCTTCTGCCGTCTGCTCAATTTTTTAAACTTTTTCAGCCTTAAAATGCAACACTCTTGACACGCATTAACTTCTAGTGCTTTTGAGATATTCCAGGATCAGAACTGTTAAATCTAAAGAAAGGCTGAGGTTTACAGTTTCATTCGTATCGCACAAGTCAGTCACCAGTAATCATCTATCTGCTCTCAGCTGTGACCGGTTTGCAATCTCTCTGCTGTGGCGGTCTTATCTCATAGTGGGGATATTTTTTTTGGACCGCTGCTCAAACCCTGGATGATGGCCATAACAAACATCTCAGGTTACATATGTAACCATGGTTGCCTGAGTAGGGAACGAGACACTGCCTCGACATGACCCGTGTCTGAAGCATACATTCAAAAAAACACCAACAACATGTTGGCCGGCGACAGCCTATGACGTCACTACCGGTGCAACTATAGTATAAATAGGCACCGGGAGAACACATCATCCGCTTCTTCGTCTGAAGCTTGTGTAGGGAAGCTAGAGGACACAGTGTCTCGTTACCTACGCAGGGAACCATGGTTACATACGTAACCTGAGATGTTCCCTTTCAAGAGAACTTTGAACTGCGTCCTCTAGGGGTCGCTATGTGGAACGGTATACCCACGCCACCATGCTGAGGGGAGTGCATGCCAAACCACAGGCAAGCACTAAGTACCAACTCTACCAACGTTTTAAGGGAGTTCACCCTGGGACGTTAGATGGCTGTCAGTGACATTATCCCCTACGGCCAAAGGCCTAAGCTACATACCCCAAAAAATTTACCTGTTAGGGCCAGAACTCCTGGGTCCGGGGTAGAGCTCAAGGCTTGGAATCAGGAATAGATTCCTTTAAGGGGATACGACCTAGTGCCTAGAATCGTACTAGGTCTTGGCCTGTCTCCCAGGGGGCTACCGCTTGCTCTGCTTGAGCTTGCTGATGGAACTGTCTCAACAGACCCCTAGTAGCAACACCCTGTTAAAGTAGGTATCCTGAGGATACATAGGTGGAGTGGTGCCCAAGGTGGAACCGGGGCCTAACGGACTCAAGAAAGGGCACGAAGCCACCGCGCGTAGTCGCTACCATACAGGATTTTAGAAAGAACATAAAATGCTTAATATGCAAACTTACCACAGTGTGAATTTTAGAAAGTGCGCAGGGACTTTGCGTGCACACTTACATAACATGGATTTAAAGATACCATTCTAAAGGGCCCTCATGGCACTCTGAAAGAGCAGCCCATAAATGGAAATGGTGCATCCCAAGAACAATATGTTTGAGAAGTCATCAACTCAATCTATGGTATAATGCTGGAATGTCTAGCTGTAAGTTACCTAGCTGAGGGAGCATAACACCCAGCTCTTAGCCGAGAGGGAGGCTCGACCTACAGCCTGTTCATTACCATTCATCACTGCAAAAGTCGAGAACCTGGTTCTGAGTCCAGCAGAGGGGGTACTTACCAAGGACCTACCCTAGAAAAGGACATTTTATATTTTAAAAATGGATCGTACTCACCCCCCCATGGTTCCCGCGCAGGAGCCCCGTTCAAGAAGCGAAGCCCAAAGAAGCCTCTAGTCCGGACCATCAGTAAGGTGGTTACCATGTAAGACACAGAACCAACCGAAAACATCATC